TCTGTGGGTCAGACAACACCCAGTTCATAATGGGCATAGCAGATCACTGGTGACTTGGTAGCCCATGGTTAGGTGTTCAGTCTCTTCTAAGGTACAGTAACAAGCAAAAATTGTTTCAGTAAAGGAGAGTAGTTATCTACAGAGGCTGACAGGGGTTTGCTCCAAAATCCTAAACGTCTGTACTGTGATTCACCTGTTGTGGTCCGCATCTCTATCTGCCATTGTTTAGCAACCATTGGATCAGCTGGATCATATGGCCCAAGTGGCAGAGCATGATGCATGGCAACCTGAACCGGTTGCAGAGGCCTCTCTTGTTCTGGGCCCTACTCAAAACGAGTAGCTTTTCAACTCACTTGACAAATAGGCCAGAGTAACACATCCAAATGAGAGGGGTACGTTGCCTCAAAAATCTGAAGAAATCCGCTAAGCAGACCTCTAAATCAAGTTAAAAAAACTGGAGGGCCAATGACAAGCCAGATGCAGGACCCAGACCCAGCAAAAAGCAAGCAAGCTTTGCCAGAGTGTCCAGTATTTTGGAAGCAGGTCACACCAAGAAAACTTAGTTCAGAGATGATTACATTATATTACAAGGGTGAGTAAAAAATTATCCATACTCCAGTTATTAAAACACCTGTCCACGTCCATAGCTGATGACAACATGGAGCGTGCATGTGAAATGATTCTGTTGAATAGATGAATGACAGTGGATTATGTGGCAAATCAGCCATGGCTCTGCCTGTTAAATAATCCATGACAAATTTGGGCTCCAAAAAGTTTGTGTGAGGTGGATACCGAAACTCATGGAAAATCATAAACAGAAGCATTGGGACATCTGCAAACAAAATTTGCACCAATACTCAAAGGAAGGTAAATGTTTGCTTTAGAAAATCATTATTGATGACAAGACATGATTTCATCACTATGAACCTGAGAATAAACAGCAGAGTATGAAATGGAAACATCTTCAATTGCTGACCAAGAAAAAGTTCAAAAACCAACCATCAGCTGAAAAATTGATGCTTACAGTTTTCTGGGATTCTCAGGGGCCAGTATTGGAACATTATCAGGAAAAAGCTTCAGCAATTAACAGTGTTCCCTACAGTGAGATCCTCAATGAAGAGCTGAAGCCTAAACTTCAAATTAAATGCAGAGGACTGCTACCCAAGTGCGTTATGATCTTATATGACATTGCACATCCACACACCTCTTCTGACTCTGTTGATAATCTGCAAAAACTTCGTTTTAAGCTGGTAAAACACCCTCCCTGTAGTCCTGATCTTGGTCCATTAGACTCTCAACCTGTTTGGGCCCCTGAAAGCAGTCTTTTCAAGGATGAAGATTAACCACTGATGAAGAAGTGAAAACAGCAGTGCATTTATGGCTCGAAGCTCAGTCTAAAACCTTTTTGAATAAGGGAATATGAAAGCTTGTTGATAGATGGACAAAGTGTATCGAAAAGCAAGGAGATTGTGTCAAAAAGTGATGTATTTGTCTTTTCTAAGAGTTGATTAAAAATAAATTCTGCAGCCAGAGTGCAGATAAATTTTGACTCACTCTCACAGATCTCATCATGCAGGATTGCCACTACATCTTAACTGCTAAACCACTGAGAATCCTGGCCCAGTAAAGTTGGCACAAAACTGTCCCTATTACAGACTAGCAAGGAACATGAAGTGAGATACCAGTTGAAAGGGGAGAGTTATAGGCAAAGATGGTGAGGACTACAGCTAAATCATTGGCAATGGATTGGACAGATTCAGGACATATTTGTGAAGTAAAATATATAGGGTTTGAAATTGAATGTGATGAGGCCAGTTAAAATGACTCTCCAAAACCAAACTTGGCTGTCCAGTATGGTGAATGAGGTTCGTTAATATCAAAGAGCTCATTTATTAATTCCATGAACGTTTATGTACTTGCAGTGGGCCAAATTTATTGTTAAATTCTGAGATTACAAAGATTTATACACAATCTCTGCTCTCAAGAAAGAAAACAGATCAAAAAGACAATTACAGAATAGTGTGACTTGAATGTTAATAAAGTACTGCCCAAAATATTGTGGGGGCGTATGGGTGGGGCCATCTGTCCTAGTGGAACATAGGCCGAGGTTGTTCTGCTAACACCAGAGCATTGCTCCCCTTTTAAAATCAGCAATTTTGACGAATCTTCTTGCCTGTGTTGTTGTTGTTTAAAATGAAAGATTATGAATTGCAGAATGTCCTTTTTCATGTAATCTCTTAAGGCATTGAGGTCTAGTAACTGAATATAATATCATTCATCAGATTGATATATAAAAGCTGAAGTGTAATAGATAAGAAAAGGATGACTCTTTGTGGATTCTTGTACATTTCTTTTAAAGAAATGAAGTATTTATTTCATTTCAAAGTTTCAATAATTGTTCAAGAATTTTGCACAGGTCTTACGAAGAACCATTATTTTTGAGAGCAGAAATGTGCTTCTGAGCAGTATTCTTCAGAATCCTTAAAGTGGAAAATAAATCTGAAATATCAATTCACCACCAGAAAAGAAAATTGTATAAAATAAAACAAACTTACAGGTTAGGGAAAGATAGAAAACCAAAGATTGATATACATAAATATATTTTTAAACTCACATTCTAAAAGCCAATAATTCTTTTCAGCTTTGAGTCTTCTGCTTTTTACAGGTTAAATTTGAATAGACACACATACAAATTAAATAGAAATCCAAATATTGTGAAAATAACCAAGAATAATATTTGCTTAGCTTCCTAAGAAATTAGAAACATTGTTGTTGTTGTTATTGCCATCAAGTCGGTACTGACTCATAGCAACCCTATGCACAACAGAATGAAACACTGCCCGATCCTGGGCCAACCTCACAATTATTGCCACGCTTGAGCCCATTGATGCTGCCACTTTGCCAGTCCATCTCTCAGGGGTCTTCCTCTTTTTCTCTGACCCTCCACCTTACCAAACGATATCCTTCTCCAGTGACTGGTCCCTCCTGACAATATGCCTGAAGCATGAGAGTTGAAGTTTGGCCATCTTGGCTTCCAAGGAGCGCTCTGGCTGCACTTCTTCCAACACAGATCTGTTGGTTATTTTGGCAGCCCATGGCACTTTCAGTATTCTCCTCCAACACTATTAGAAACATTACTTATTTTATAGTACCCTCCCCAGGGAGATGGATCAGCAAAGTGGCAGCATCAATGGGCTCAAGCATGACAACAATTGTGAGGTTGGCCCAGGATCAGGCAGTGTTTCATTCTGTTGTGTGTAGGATCACTATGAGTTGTTACCGACTTGATGGCACCTAGCAACAACAAGTTGTATTCTATTTAATCCTCATTTCTAATGTATTCAGTGAAGACACACTGTCCTGTTTTTTCACATAAGGAAACTAAATTGCTTTGCTTAGAGTGTAAGTGATTTATACGAAGTTACATACCTAGTAAGTCAGAAACAGAACCCATATTTTATGGCATATTACTTGCTAACATGTAGTTTATTGCCATCTCTTCTGTGGTTGACTATATTGTGGAGTTAATGTCCTCCCTCCCACTTTTCCTACATTAACAGTTGTACAGTGGTCCATTTTCACAAGGAGGACCCAGTGAGGCAGCATGAAATCCCTTGGTGCAGTCAGAATTCACTGTCAGCAGTCCAATTCAGAGCACCTGGCTATTGAAGGTCCTTGTACTGGGAACAGTTCAGGATTTGTCTCAGGGAGACTTCTGTATATGTGTGTGCGTGTGTGTGTGCGCGTGTGTGTGAGAGATGACAGGTGTTTGTGTTCCTTCTGCACTCAAAATTTAATGTGTGACCATTGTTAGAGCTATTAAGAGGAAAAGTTGTTGTAAGTGCCATCGAGTTGGTTCCAACTCACAGCAACCCTATACTTTCTGACTCTGTTTGAACTGCTGACCTTGTGGTTAGCAATCCAGTGTTTATCCTACAGCTCCACACTAGGAAAAACTTTCAAATGAGTCCAGAGAGCTTCTCACCTCTGTACATTGGGCTTAATAGATGAATCATGTTGGCATTTTATAGGGATAGTTCAGTTCTTTATCATGGCATAGTTTGAAGAACTTGTTTTAATATTTAATTGTATTTTTTTGTTTGTTTGTTTTTCTATTCAGAACCAGGTTTTGCTTTTCAAATTTTTGAGGAGCCTTCTTGACCCAAGGTATGTTAATAAACTTTAGTTTCTTATAATATATAGATGACAATGCAAAGGAAATTAATTGAGGTTAGGAAACGGACCTATAGTAACCAAATAGTACATCTGGCTCTTAATTTTCTTATTAGTAGGACAAATATTTACAGAGATTATCCCTAAGTAAGTGATTTGAAAGTAGATTCTATCCTCTAGAGTAAATACTTTAATTTTACCTTGACTTTGACCATGCACGATGAGTTCTCACCAGTGTGAATACAACTAGGGAGCTGTGCCACAAGGAGGTGTTCCAGGGTAACTGGTGGCCATCCAGTGTCCCCTTTTCACCCAGCGTCACTTCTACCTGTTGTTTATTCTATGCTGTACATTGATAGCTTTACTTTTCAAAGTAAACACTGGCTCTCCACTGTCTTAGTTGTCTAGTGCTGCTGTAACAGAAATACCACAAATGGATGGCTTTTAACAACCAGAAAATTTTTCTCTCACAGTTTAGGAAGCTAAAAGTCCAAATTCAGAGTGCTGGCTCTTGGGGAAGGCTTTCTCTTTGTCTACTCTGGGGAAAGGTTCCTGTCTCCTTTTAGCATCTGCAGGTCCAGTATTCCTTGGAGATCTCTATCCATCTTGACATCAGTCTTCCCCTGAATCTAGGAATTTCACAGGGCAGGAACCCCAGGTCTCTACCCTGGGCTCTTTATCTTGGTTCCTCTGAACTCTACTTTTATATCTCAAAAGAGGTTGACTCAAGATACAACCTGTAGAGCATTAGTATCATAGAAGTGTGGCTTACCACACATAATAATGACATCAGATCAGGGCTTATCACATCAAATCATACTATGAGGTTGGTTTTATTAGATCTCATTGTGAAGGTGGTAACTACATCTTAACTGCTAAACCACTGAGAATCCTGGCTCAGTCAAGCTGACACAAAACCTTAACTATACATTGTTGTTGTTAAGTGCCATTGAATCGGTTCCATCTCATAGCAACCCTTTATAGAGTTTCCAAGACACAGCTGGTGAGCTTGAACCGCTGACCTTGTGGTTTTCAATGTACCTTACAGTTCAATGCACTACCTCTAAATTCATTACCTTTTTGCATTTCGTTGAAGTGTTTCATTTTAAATATCTTTTCCTGGCAGTGTGGGAAGGAAAGTTTAGAGGGTTTTTTTTAACTGCTATTGTGGTCCTTTTTAAAAACAAACCCAGGTTGATGATGAAATTAGCAGTGGGTTTGTAAGTGAAGCGATTCTGCTTGTGAGAGCATGCACAGCCTTAGTGCTGTTCTGTAACTGAGTAGATTGAGAACAGTAGGAAACTGAGTACAGTAATATATAGCATCCTCTGACATAGTCGCTCTGAACCTGAAACTTTTGAAAATACAGATGCCCAGCCCCCAAAACCTTTGGGAGTGGGAATATTCTGATGCACACCTAGAGGTAGACTTCACTGGTTAAGAGCAGTATTCCAGGGTGGCACCGCATTCACATCAAATGTACAAACCTTGAATTTCATTAAAATACACTGGTAGGTAAAGCAGCCATTTATTTACTGTTGTGATGACAATGTCAGTTTGTTTATTGCAGTACTCTATGCTATTTGTGGAGTCCTGGTGTGGCGCTGTGGGTAAATGCGCCAGGCCGCAAAGCCGTTTGAACTGCAAGGTCAGCGGTTCAAGCTCACCAGCTGTTCCTCGGAAACCCTATAAAGGGTCACTGTGGATCGGAACCGACTCGACAGCACTTCACAACAACAATGCTATTTGTAAATACCCAAATACCAAGCATATATATATTTGAAATATTCATTATTTAAATCTTCAGCAAGCTAATTTGCATTCAAATCTAAATCAAACAAATAAGCAGATGTTTAGAAATGTCTCTGACCACGTAGCTCCCATAAGCCCCAATCCAGACCTTTTACAAATATCTGTTTTAATTCTCTATATTCAGACTATTACTGAGAGTAAACGTCTTTTTGAAATGTCTATTACTCATTTATATTTCCCTCAGAACCACTTGGGTCCCTGTCTACTTCTAGAATTACCTAATGGAGCTCTTTAGAATTGGAGTTGAGAAACAGGAGGAGAGGAAGAGAGCTGGTGAAAGGATGGATGGTGAAAGGTGGGAGAGGAGACGTGGGAAGCAGGGGAAAGGGCTGAGCAGGACTGAGTGAAGGGAGCGAAGAAGGAGGGTTCCAGCCCCAATTTGAAGCCCTTTCTCCAGAGCCTGTCCACATCTTTTCCATCTCTCTTCATGTTACCTCTGCATTCAAATTCATTCTCTTAGAACTTGACTCTTTTTCCCCTAGGATAACTTATTTTAAGCAAGACCTTTTCCCTTAACCATACTACCTTGAGAAAATGAAGCTGAAAGGACAGGGGAAGCTTACATTTGAGTGTGGACTTAACTGCAATAAATTGCCGAAGACAACAGTGACTATGTTAGTTATCTTTTGCTGTTATGACAGAAATACCACAAATGGATGGTTTTAACAAATAGAAATTTATTCTCCCATAGTTTAGTAGGTTAGAAGTCCAAATTCAGGATGTCAGGCTAACCCATAAAAGCTTGTTTCATATTTAATAAATATGTAATATTAGTAATCACTCTTCTATCAGGTTGTCGTACTGTGGTGACTTGTGTATTGCTGTGATGCTGGAAGCTATGTCACTGGTATGTAAAATACAGAGTCACCCAGAGTGAAGAGGTCTCAATGTGGCTTCCAAATTAAGACAGAGTAGAAAGGAGAGGCAGAACACTTCTGAATGCGTAGCCACTGAAACACTTACGAATAGCAACAAAACATTGTGAGATACAGTGCCAGAAGATGGAAACATTATGAATAGCACCAGAATATTGTCACATATAGTGTAGGAAGATGAACCCCTCAGGTTGGAAGGCACTTAAAATGTGACTGAAGAGAGCTGCCTCTTCAAAGTAGAGTTAACTGTGATGATGTGAATGGAGTAAAGCCTTCGGGACTTTCATTTGCTGATGGGGCACAACTCAAAATGAGGAGAAACTACTCATAGACTAATAACTGGAAGATGGAATGTACGAAGTATGAATCTTGAAAAATAGGAAATGTCAAAAATGAAATGGGACACGTAAAGATT